GAGAGAGACTGCAAGATTGGTACCGAGGTCATATGAGCAGACAATCCAAAAGGGCAAGGCAAGAGCCAAAACAAGGTAAAGCTGGATTTCTACTACTTGGTGAGGTTTGAGAATCTGGTACTGAATGAAGGTGTACAGCTTAAGGTGAACATGTGCAGTGAATGAAGGCTGATTGTAGAAACGGGAGCAGAGTGGAACTGAGTGATTGACATGAGCTGGAAATACTTGGCAGGGAGAACAAAAACATGAAAACATGGCAAACGGAGACAGGTGAGGGGCAAAAACGTGACAGAGTGCTGTATGAATGGGTAAATGAGGGCACATGTTGTAATGTAAAGCGCTTTGAGTACCATGACTAGATAGAAAGGCACCATATACGGTAAGTACAGTCCATTTACCATATAGTAACATTTTTTTGCACTTGCAATGAACATATGTTTTGATACTAAAATATAATAAAACTGCATAATTTTGAATTGAATCATTTGAACTACAGGAAATGTTTTAATTAAAAGTAGCCTTGTTTTGTTTTTTCATCCAAAATCACACGCCATTCTGAACTTTTGGCATCGTGCCTTGTAAGCTTTCACCACAGTAATTTTCCTTACGTTTTATTTGTCACTTCATATATGTATAACTCAGCTATATGTGGCTGAGCGCTTTCACCTTTTGCATATTTTGTCAGTGTGAAAAGCCTCTTAAACAGACTGTAACCCCCCAGAGCTGTTCGTTCATTTTGAACACCTCCCACCCTGCCCCCATTGTTGCATTATCACCTCAAGGGGTCAAACAACAGATTAGAGAGCTGGGAAAATGTGACACTTCAGCGATGGAGGATGCACTTTCAACCTCACTTGACAGCGAGGAAGAGGCTGAGCTGAAAGGTACCGTAGGACAAAAGTTTCAAACCAGCTCGTGAACTTTTAAATGGGTTTCATGGTCAGTACAGAAACTTCTAACTCACAGCTGAGCTGCACTGAGTGTAGTAGCTTATCTGAAGTTTGCTCATTTGCAAACAGCAGATTTGTTCTGATTTAGTGATGATGCTGAGCTCTAAGATGCAATTTTTATTATCAAATAATCATTATTGTCAAAAGCACAATGATTTTTGTCTTATTGTAACTTTTCTATTTTCTTTTTTTATATATATATATATATAATAAATAAATAACCAGTGTGCTCCCTGTAAAGGTTTCTAACAGGTTAAACCACCTGAACGCCAAACTTATTATCTTACCCAGTGAAAAATTTTTATTAAATCTCCATTTGAGGCCATTGTAAGGCCCACAGTCACTCAGCTGTGTCAAAGCTACAGACAAATGAATCATAATGAGTAGTCAAACTAAATAATTAGTTTGTATTTATGTGACAAAGGTAGGAGTCAGAAGAGGGGGGTGTTTTCAATAGAGTTTAACATTCAAAGATTACCCTAAAATTACAGCCTGTAATCTTCTTCGTCTTTCGGCTGCTCCCTGCTTTTAGGGGTCGCCACAGTGAACTAAGCTGCACGAAAATTACAGCCCGTAATATTTATGATCAATATAAAAAACAGTAATGGCTGCTGAAACAATGCAGCTCAGATATGAAGCCTGAATATGAACAGAGGACGATGTAGAAGTCAGCATCATTTCCTTTTTTACTCTATTTCTGAGGAGTCACTGAGTGCAGCAGTAAGTCTGCTTGTTTAGTCAAACAATTGTTTAGTTTAGGATCATTTGATGTAACAATAAGGGGATTTATGGTCTTCTTTACTTAAGGCAGTGTTATTGTTCATTCGTCTTCAGTTTATTGAAGTAATACGGTAACTGAAGGTTTTGCTGTAGCTGAGTAGTTTCTGCAACACAAATGAAAGCATGTAATCTGTCATTGTTGCTACTGACTTGGGATCATTAAAGTTTCAAGAAGTTATGTTTAGACTATCCACGACCGAATGCAAGGATAGCGTTTCCAGACAGATTTCACGCTGGAACCTATTTGCAAAAATAAATATATAAAATAAAAACTTTTGGGGCTCCTAAAATGAAATTTTCATGTGGATGTAAAATTGAACCCACCCCGCACTAAAATATATATTTAAATAAATAAATAAATTGTCACGATCGGTTAGTGGGTGAAACCTAAATGCAAGCAGAGCAGCAGCGAAGTGACAAAAAAGGTATTAATTTACAAAAAAGAAAAACAACGTATAATGCTGGCGCGGCAGCGACACTACTTACAACTCGTAGGAAATAACTCAGAGTATCAAGACACTGGGAGGTGAACATGAAGGTACAGCACGACACTTAATGTTCCCCTGCCTGAGACGCAGGAGAGCTCAGTATATAAGATGAGATGAGATGGAAATTTATTGATCCAACATGAAATTGTTGTGCCAGAGTTTCAGTACAAACGACCATACACAAGGAATTATACAAGACATAAAAAAATAACAGAGAATATTAAAAATAACAGAAAATATAAAAAAAATACCAACAATTCAGTTCTAAACAGGTCAGGTGTAGATAGAAACATTAAGGTGTTTATTGTAGTACAGGATTAATTTTATTGTGCAGAAAAGGGGAGGAGTTGAAAAGTTTGAAGGACTTCCTGTGTTGTACTGTGGAGCACCTCGGTGGTCTCACTCTGCGACTGAAGGTGCTGCAGTGAGAGTCCAGGGTGTCGTGCAGGGGGTGTGATGTGTTGTTCAGGATCTGGAGCAGTTTCCTCAGCATCCTCTGCTCAGACACCTGTCAGAGACTGCAGGTCCACTCCCAGAACTGAACCAGCTCGCTTGATGAGTTTATAGAGTCTGTTGGCATCAGCTTTCTTCACCCTGCTGCCCCAGCACACCACAGCGTAGAAGAGGATACTGGAGACCACTTAGTGGTAAAACATCTGCAGCATAGTCCTGCAGACATAAAAAAACCTGAGTCTCCTTGGAAGAAAAAGGTGACTCTGCCCTTTCTTGTAGAGGGCATTGGTGTTAGCCGTCCAGTACAGTTTATTGTCTAGGTGGACCCCCAGGTACTTGTAACAGTCCACAATGTCCACCTTAGTACCCTTGATTTTGATAGGGCTGGGGTGGCTGATCTTCTTTCTGTAGTCCACCTGCAGCTCTTTAGTTTTTTCCAATGTTGAGTTGCAGGTGGTTCTGTCCACACCATTCCACAAAGCTGTCCACCACACCTCTGTATATAAAGGGGAGAGGTTAATGATCCCAAATACAAACGACCTGGAGAGTAACTAATTATGTGCGCAGGGCAGGGCAACTGCAGATCCCTACAGAATCCCCTCTCTAACAAACGGCTCCTGACATTCCAAAACACCCCACACTAACTTGGGTGGGTGGTGGGGGAAAACACTAAAGGCCGGAGGGCACCAAAATAATCAAACTAGGAGCAGCACTGAGTACGTGAATGTTAATAAAAGTTTGGGTGGACATCCTGAAAACCATCCAGTCCACAGACCAAGTTCAGGCGGGCAGCCGGAAGACTGTCCATCCCAAGGGCAGAGTTCTGCAGTTGACGTGTAGGCCGTAGAAACTGCAGCTGCCAGTGTAGGGACCACAGGAGCAGCAGCCAACATAGGGAACACGGGTGCAGCTGGTGATGTAGAGACCTCAGGCACAGATGGTGGCATAGAGACCTTGGGCGCAGTTGGCAGCATGGGGACCTCAGGTGCAGCTGGTGGCATGAGGACATCAGGCACAGCTGGCAGTGTGGGGACTTCTGAGGACATGGAACCCTCAGAGGATGTGAACTCAGCAAGAACTGCAGGAGGTGTAAAAACTACAGAGACTGTATTAGGCATACAAAGTTCATGCTCAATCATCCAGGTATCAAATTCAATAATTCTCACTCAGGTCATCTGGACAGTTTCTAGAAGCCACCACAGGGCCTGCAGCAGGAGTGAGGACCTCTGGCAGTGGATCAGGAGGCTTAGCAGGTTCAGCCCCACCAGAGTGCACGGGAACCTTGGGGGAGTCAATCTCAGTCCTCTTCCTCTGGGCGTAGACAAGGATCTCCTGGTAAACAGGTGTATGGAGCATCTCAGGTTGGGATGTTAAGGTTTCCAGGATCTAGTTAAAGATGAACCTTCTGGTCTGGATCCTGTCCGCAGGAGTAGCATGGAGAATAATTATTAGTCCACGAATGTATGGATAAGTCACCTGATCCTCCAACGGTGGTAGATCAGGAGCCAGATTCGCTATTGCAGGAGAGGGAAATACAGAGGGTGTGGAAACTGTCATGGAGCGCGATGGGATAGAGTGAGGCGATCTCCTGTCAAACCTCATTCTCTCTCGGTGCGCAGTCTTCTCAGCTTTCTTTGAAAAACACTCAAAGAAGTACAACTGCTTGCTGGGCTTCTTTGAGGGAAGCATTTTGTCATGATTGGTTAGTGTGTGAAACCCAAATTCAAGCAGAGCTCCAGCAAAGTCACAAAAAAGGTATTTAAATACAAAAAGGAAAACATATAATGCTGGCAGGGCAGCAACACGACTTACAACTCATAGGAACTCGGAATACCAAGGCACTGGGAGGCAAACGTGAAGGTCCCTTGCCTGAATGCAGGAGAGCTCAGTTTATAAAGGGGATACATTATCCCAAACACAAACCACCTGGAGAGTAACTAATTATGTTTGCCACAGCAAACTAACTCGCACAAAGACTTGGCAATTGTTTATAAGCTGTATGCCCTTCCTGACGCAACCACAGACCACCAAGCTACCACAGCCCTCTGTGTGGAGCAGAGAGCTGCCATCTAAGGTGCCCGAGGGAGCAGATGGTAGAGGTTAAGGACCTTGCACAAGGGCCCAGAGTGGGGTAAATGAGGGTTCAATAAATAAATCATCAAACTCTTGCATGAAACCCAACATGAAGGACAAAAATACTTTGGGTCCAGTTTGACCTATCCATTATGTGTTGGGCATAAACTGACTTCAAACTGCAACCTAATGGTGACTCTGAAGTGCTCCAAGTGCTGAAGTCAGAGATATGAGACATTAATGTTTATGCTGTTACCTCTCTGTTGGTCGCTGAAGTAACTGAAATATGTAGGGCAGGTTATCGTCACCACTTCTCCAACTCTGGCTGAAGGCCAACAGGCGATGATGTCCCACATCCCCTGACAACCTGCCAACAAAAATGTCAACAACACTAACATGGCATCACTCAGACTATGACACATACACACAGATGACAGTGACAAAATAAAGTTGTGTTTAAACACGACACTCGCGATGACTGGGGGCAAATGCTTCAGGATACAGCCCTGAGTGTGTCATTTAACAGCTTTACAAACAGATTATTGTGTTGAGTTTGACCAAAAAATGTCATTACAAGGGTAGTTCAGTCTAAATCTTTAAGTCGTGTTTTTAAATCTGTGCAATAATCTCAAAAGTTGTTTTGTCACACGCTCAAAGCTCGAATAATGCTTCATGCCTGAATACATAAACACTTCACTGTCTGTTTTGTTTCAAGGAAACCAAAGACTGGCTGAAAAAATGTTGCACAACAAAAATGTTGTGATGTTTTCCCACAAGTGCACTTTCTCTAATTCACTTATTCAGGATGTGACTTCAGAGTGAAACTTCAACTAACCTTCCTGTTCAGGAAGCAGATAGGAGTGCAGAAAAATGAGGGTCATTGCAGAGATAAGGGCTGTGTTCCCATGCAAGTCATTCATATATATTCATTTAATGTAAAGTGCAGCACGTATGCAAGTGCAGGAACTGCTTTGTATTACGTTAAAGTAAAAGGACATGGCACTGGTGGAGTTACAGGTCATTTGATGGACATCGTCATGTATATTTAATGCACTTTCACTGTTTTAAAGACAATCGCAGAAGCATTTAGAAGAAAAATATACCACTACATACAATACATTTCATGGTTCTTTATAGGGATGCACAATATTATCGGCATCGACCATCGAGTTAAAGTTGAATATCGGACATCAGCCAAAGTATCAAAGTAACACTGATATAAAAAGTGGAGAGGAAAAAGTCAAAATGTCGGTGGTGTGGAAGTTTTTTTCGTTGAGGATATCAGATTCTGAAGATTTTTGGACAATGATGAGCCTCGCTACATCGTCTCCAGTTAGAGATATTTTTTCGGCGTAGCCTTACCCGAGTTACAAGACGTCATTTTCGACATCATTGAGAAGCTAATAGCCGATAGCACTTGGGTGAGTTTTACCACAGAAATTTGGACATCGTGTTAGCCCCGTTAGCATGATTAGTTTTATGGCACAAAGGATAGACAAAAACTTTGAACTTAAAAAGGCTGTTCTTCATGCACAGGAGTGCAGAGGATCCCACACTGCAGCTAGGAACCTGGAACAAGCCTCCACAAGTGAAACAGCATTGCAGGTGAATAATGCTAATAAATAATATTTAACACTTTTCATTTAATATAAGTTAAAGTGCTATGCATATGGTTGTTATTGAATGTATGTCACCAGCTCTTACATCTGTTACACAATTTTTGTAGCAAATAAGCCTAAATAAGAGGGCTATGTTCTGACAAAGGAAAGTATATAAAATATCGGTATCGGTATCGTCCAAAAATCCAATATTGTGCATCCCTAGTTCTTTACTATACAGATGTAGTGGTGACATTCATCATCGTCACTGCTTATAATCCATTTTAACTTCACTCATTGTTTTGACACAGTTACACATGTTGGCTCTGTTTTGTTAATTCTGCCAAATAATTTGTGAATCTATGTTTTATGGTTGACCCACTGATTTTTATTTATAAATTTTTAATAAATGCTTCAGCCACGCCTGAGCACATGAAAAGGCAGGAACAGCTGTGTTGTTACACTTGACACTACAACTTTTGATTAATCTGCTTCCCATGACAGGATGCATTTGCTTTTTTGAGAATTAGGGATGCCTTTTTTCAACAAAACATTGTCAGACCCCTAAGGAAGATGACTAAAATACAAGGCGAACTTTTAAAACAGGGGTGTCTAATCCTGGTCCTTAAAGGCCATTATCCTGCATGTTTTACTTGTTTCTATGCTCCATCACACCTGATTCAAAGGTGGAATTAAATCTTCATGTTCAGCAGATGTTTGGTAATCATCCACCCTGATAATTAGGTGGGTCAGAACAGAGAAACTTTCAAATCATGCAGGATAGTGTCCCTCAAGAACCAGGACTGGACACTCCTGTTCTAAAGAAGCGATGTAAATTTACCAGGACAGATTGCAAAACAATTATTTTTTCTGAACTTAATGTTTTTTGTGCAAATATGTTGCATTTAGATTGAAAATATGGATAGTTTTATTCTCGGAACAGCATTTAATAAACCGTAGCCTGTTAAACACCAGTGCCTCAATGGGCTGCGACTGCTATTTTTCAAGTTGGCAAACATTTATGAGATTCTCTAAAATGTCTTAAAACATTTGTACAAATAAAATAAAATAAAAAGTGGTTTTCAAACACAGGTCACTCAAAATCCAGTTGCACGGCTTGCTGGTCACTTGGGCTCAAACCCTCTAAATTCAGTGAAATTGTCAGGAAAATGTGTCGATTTTCTTGCAATGTTGCGTCACGAACCAGTCTCCAACGTCAACAACCCATCAAGACCCTTAATATGGGTACTGATCCATTTCAAGCCTCAGGACTAAAGATGTGCACATGTGCATTCACAAGCAATTTTTTCCCTTTTGTTTTTGTATTTTTTAAGACAATTGTTATGAATATCAGTCTGGCAGCGCGCTAGCTCAGTTGGTAATCAGTTGGCTGATTGGTAACTCTAAATTGTCCCTAGGTGTTTGTCTCCATATGTCCCTGTGATGGGACTGGAGACTTGTCCCGGCGTGTCCCCTGCCTCTTGCACAGTGTCTGCTGGATATGGAGCTCCAGTGACCCCCACAACCCAGAAAGGAAGAAGCAGGTAAAGATGATGGATCATGGATTAATATCAAACTGTAATGGCAATAAATAAATAAATAATCAAATGAGCTTAATCAGTTAGCCATTGGCTGCCCTGATTTGGTATCAGTCCGCAAAATAATTCTCAGTTGGTCAGCCTCTAAAACCAATTCTGCTTGAAATTCTCTCATCATCTCCATCACTGTTAGAGTGATGTTGGTTTTATTTATAAATCAAGCTAATTGCTAGATGAGATTTAATGAATGTGAAGAAATATTGACCTCAAAAGTTTTATAGCGATTCAGGCAAATGCTCTATTGTGAACCAAAACAACTGTTTTCAACCAGTTTGACAAGACTGTCAACAAGGAAGAGGGCCGGCAATGGAGGAGGGGGCGTACCAAAGAGACCATCTTATCACAAGCAGAACTGATTTGTTCCACTTTGGAGTAAGCTGTTGGGGGAAGAATCAGTTTTGTTGTGCGTTTCCTTGACTGATGAAGCCTTCCAGACCGAAGGCGAAACGTTTCAGCACAAAAAAAAAAAAAAAAACTGTCCAGATGACCTGAATGAAAAATGTTGGATTGTATACCTGGATTATTGAGCATGGACTTTGTTCTATTGTGAACTGTTATGCCACTTTTGCATCAAATGGGTATTAAAATAAAATTGGGTGGAGTTTTCTTTACAGAAAACATGATAATCTATTTGAATTCTAAAAATAATTGTGTTATGTCAGATGAATAAATGTCATCATGTATCTGTCTGCTGCAGGTAACACACTAACTATTAATAACCACTCCAAAGAACCCCAGTTCATAGATATAATCAAACATGAAACAGTTTCTGCTCTTTAACAATGTTGTCAGTCCAATAATAGGATTAATTTAGGTAAAACAGTTGTTGCGGTGCAACATGAAATTGTCACAATTGTACCAATTTAATATCAACGTGGTTAAAAATTATTCCCGTTTCATTTAAAACTTTAATTAACCAAAAGGTTTTTGTAATTGTGTTGGACTGATTTATCCCAGGTTTTCATTAAAGGCATTTTAAGTATATATTTAGAATGTAATATTTTGAGAAAACATAAATATCCACAACAATATACCAGTGATGTTTGAATGTGTGGCCTAAAACCAATTTTAAGGCTGAACTCAGTTTTTTTTTTTTCCAAGACTCAGGTGCTGTGAACGGGCAAATTGCTTCTCTAAATGATGTGGTTTTGCTCCCAACGCTAGTTCTTTATCTAAAAAGTACCACATTGTATGACCTAACCTCACTATTCACTCACTTTTATCGCCTCTTATTTTCTTCTAAATAACCCTCTGCACACTCTAAACATGAAAAAGGGGTTTGAAAAATGACCTGAAGTGACGTTCCCAGATGTGCTGTTTTCACAGCGCTCCTTCTCCTGCTCAATTTCACTCACCACATCGCACATCTGCACCGATAACACCTGCATAAAAAAAATAAAGCACAATTTAGAATAAAGAAAGTAATATGGCTCCTTTACAGCCCTGTAATTAGATTATGTGCAGAAAACCATTCACATATTTGTCATACTCTCATAACTCTGGCCTTTCATCCTACGCTGTTTTAGTTAGAATGAATTTATGCCTCATAATTCAGTAAATATGCAGAAACGTTCTCTGTGTCTGAAAACATAACAAAGTTCCTTCTTGCAAAAGGAATATAGATGCTATCATGCAAATGGATTAGGAAGTAGAGAGGGGAGCCACTGAGTAATCCGCTGCGATTGTTCATCTGTGTCAACAAAGGCTGAAAAATGCAGGCTGACAGCCACAGGCCGAGGAACGGTGGGCTAATGAAAATGTGTAAGACGAGCAGCGAACGCTTGAGAAGGTCAAAGGAGATGAGCGGGGAAGAAAAGTCAAAGTGGAGCCGTTGAACTCCCTGAGAAGAGCTTCGCCCTGTGACCCAAACGATACTTGAGTAGAGAAGGCCAGGTCATGTAAACTGAGTTCTGCAGCACAAAGCACACAATAAAGTCAAGATCTCGCATTCCTTGAAAGACCGTGTATCATACACCGCCTTTCATGCCAGAGTTTTAAACTGAGCTCATCTTTTCAATCTCAAGAGTATGCGTTTTCAACGACTCTCAACGACCACCACATCAAATCAGTATCTATATCTATAGCTGGGGCAACAACACCTCCAGCCTGATCAAGAAAGCTCATCAGAGACTCTACTTCTCCTCAGGCGGCTGAGACGAGCTGGTCTGGGAATCTCAGTCCTCACCTCCTTCTACAGGTGTGCAGTGGAGAGCATTCTGCTCCAGCATCAACGTGTGGCATGGAGGCTGCACAGCTGCAGAAAGAAAAGCTTTGCAGAGAGTGGTGAAGGCTGCACAGAAGTCTGTTGAAGTCAGTCTCCCCACCATCACAGACATCTACACCTCCAGATGCAGGAAGAGGGCCACCTGCATCATGAAGGACCCCATTCACCCAGCACACACACTTTTTGCCTCACTCCCCTCAGGCAGAAGGTTGAGAAGCATTAAGTGTAGAACCACTAGACTGAGGAACAGCTTCTACCCTGAAGCCGTTAGATTCATGAATCCCTAGTCAGGATTATCACTGAAAAATAATCACTGTAATGCCACTAGGTTGTTGATATGTGCTGCTGACTATCCATGATGCTGATCTTATGCTGCTGATTATTTCATGCTGCTGTGTTCATTCGTCCTCATCTGCTTATACGGACTCATGTTCGTGCTGCTGTTTGGCGCATTGTTTTGTACTATTAGTGCTTAGTATATTCTTAGTTTAGCGTATTTCTTAGTTTATATCTTGGGTCTTATTACATTTTTTTTTGTTTTTTTTTTTAACAATTTGTACTTTTGTTGGACGTAACTGGGACCCTGTGTACATAGTTTCGTTCCATAACATGTACCACATGTGGTGTATAAAGACACCTTGATAATAAAGTCAAGATCTAGCATTCCTTGAAAGACCGTGTGTCGTCCACCGCCTTTCATGCCAGAGTTTTAAACTGAGCGCTTCTTTTCAATCTCATGAAGCATCACAAGGCATTTTAAAGTATGTTTTCAATTACTCTCAACTACCAACACATCCAATTGCAGCTCATTGTCAATAAAATTGACTGAGTAATGGTCATTTTTGTGTAGGCTTATGCCAAAATTCCCTGCTGATGCACCACCGGCTGACCTTCTGGTTCTTAGGCCTAATCAGAAATCACCCCATATACATATACATATACATATACATATACATATACATATACATATACATATATCACTGGTGACAACTGAGTCCAACTCATCTGGTAAAATCAGAACTGCCTGGGAACGTGGATTAGGTGCTGAACTGTTTGAATCATGGTGGTGATTCTCAGCACATGTTCAAGTAGTACACCATGTGCTAGATTGCAGCTAATACAGTTTAAAGTAATTAACAGAGTCCACTTTTCAAAATCCTGTTTATCTAAAATTCTAAAACGTTCAATACAAAAACAACTGGACTTTATTTGTAACAGAAGACGTTTCGCTTCTCGTTCGAGGAGCTTTCTCAGTTCAAAGAGCAGAGAGTGTGTGGTTCAGGTTATCATGTCCTGGATGACTGAGAATCTTCACCCGTTTATCTAAAATCTTTCCTTCAATTTTAGACCAGTGTGACAGATGCCAGACTTCAGCTTGCAACTTGAGCCAAATGTTTTTCTTCTGTCCAAGTTTGCATACATTCTGGAGTGATTCCTTTCCTTTACTTTCAGGGGGGTTTAGAACCCAGATCCAAAGTGACCCACTAATTGACATTTTTTGGAATTCCAATGACCACGTTTAACCTAACTCCCCTGCAAAATGAGATTTTAACTTACTGTTTCCTTCTTGCTAGATGCTGCATTTTACTCTTGTGGAAATGTCCCACACCTCCATCCACGTTACTATAGCTTAACACTGTCAGGGCATGTTTGAGGGTGGAGAAGATTTTACTAACAGTGAAGGGTAGTTCAGAAAAAATTACGCTTTGTGGAGTACCTCAAATCTTTACCTCCTTAGTGTGTCGAATTGTGTAATTTACCTACCATGTTCCGAAATTATAAAGATGGTAAACAATTTTTATTTATTTTAGAAAACCTCACCACACAATTTTTTTCCCTTTGCTTTTATTTATATATTTTTTACTTTTTCTCTGTGTTTTTGCATTTGCACAATGTTTTAAATTATGAACAACATTGTATAATCTCAGGCAGCACGGTGGCGCAACTGGTAGAGCTGCTGCCTCAGCGAGCAGGTCCTTGGTTCAAACCCCGGTCCAGGGGTCTTTCTGGGTGGAGTTTGCATGTTCTCTCCGTGCATGCGTGGGTTTTCTCCGGGTGCTCCGGTTTCCTCCCACAGTCCAAAAACATGCATGTTAGGCTGATTGGTAACTCTAAATTGTCCCTAGGTGTGAGTGAGAGAGTGAATGGTTGTTTGTCTCGTTTGTCTCTATGTGGCCCTGTGATGGACTTGCGACCCGTCCAGGGTGTACCCCACCCCTTGCACAGTGATTGCTGGATATGGGCACCAGCAACCCCCGTGACCCAAAATGGAATAAACGGGTAAAGATAATGGATGGATGGATTGTATAATCTCTTGATAAATAAAAAAAATTGCAGCTCTGCATCTATACAACTGACTGAGTTATGGTCATTATTGTGAAGACTTATGCAAGTTAGCTGTGGGTGCTATCTTGAAATGTGTTGACTCTAAAAGTGAATATATGCATTGATTATTTACTGAAGGTTTCATTTAAATCCATGCACACCACACACACACACCAAATTAATCTTTCAGGGGGTTTCTTTATGGTTTATGAGATATTTTGCTAACGGTACAAACACACAGACCAACACGGACAGAACCACTGTCTTGCAGGGGCAGGCAGTAATTACAATTACACAGCTCGTGCTCGCTAATTAGTGCAGATGTTTTTAAAATGTCCAGCCGTGAGCTCAAATCCCACTGGAGCTGCTCACTGGACGGGAAACCCACCTCATCAAAGTAAAGTTCAGTACACCTGCAGTGCACGTACAGAAAGGAGAAGACGTCTCTGCACATCTTCATCCAACATTGATAAAATGCCAACAGGCAATCTGTGTGGAAATGACTTTGTGTGGGATTTTGTTTTATTTTTAAATCCTCTAACGTAATAAATTTAGTTAAAACCTGATGCAATCGATGAGCTGCTTACAGATGACGGACGAGGAACAGCGAGCTGAAAGACACAGCTGTTCGTCATTGCCTCCCAATAAAACATTCAGCGTGAGCAGGGTTTTTTTTTTCGTGCTTCTTTCAGACGACTTGTTTGGTTTATCTTGTGGCTGTGACTAAATTATGATCGCATGGATTAAAGTGAAGTGAGTGCAGTGAGGCGTCTGGTGGATGAACTGCTTCTTACAGGTTTTAAACCTAACAAGAACCAAAAAGTCTTCAAGACTTTGATTAAAATGTGTCCATTTGAGGTTAAATGTGCTGTAATAGTATGTGAGACCGATCCAACACATACCTTTAATAATAAGCATAGCAAAGCTATTTTTCCTCTGCCAGCAAATATTCTTCAGTTTTTTGGGTTGGCCGCTCATCAGTCAAAATGGTCAAGCTGAAAATTGACTATTTCCAGTCAACGGTTGACTGACACATCCCTGGTTGTTATATCTGACACTTGTGTCAATGTGCTCCCTGCAACCGGATGCTTTTTATGAGAGGGGTGCTTATTTCCAGCTCAACAGAAAATCCTAAAGGAAGTAGACCAGAATATTGTAAATTAATGCTTTCCAGTCCGTGTGTCTTAACCACATTATTTTCTTAGTGATGATACAATCACTGATGGTTGGGTGTCCAAAACTTACAAGACACAACTGTTTAACTCAATCTCTACTTAAGTGGTTCTGAGCCCTATGCTGTTTTTAATATTCACTATGACAATTTTTTTCCAAGCATGTTTTTATTAAGTACATTGCAACTTTTATGCAAATTTTAAAAACTGGCTTCATAAAGCAAACATGGTCTGAGAGCTAGAAACTGCCATTGAAAAACCTCTGACCTCTCATTGCAACGTCTCAAATGCTCCCAGAGTACATAAAGTGCAAACTATGTCATATTTTAGATCTTTCTGTGCTTCACCCACCTTCTCCTTACATGGATACGGTCACCATGACACACAGCTCTATTCATGGGAGTCTTTGCCTGCCACTGATTACAGCCAAAAATCCAACATACCTGAAGTAATAGCAGTGGATCAGCTCGAAGGTAGGAGTTTAATCTGTGCACTACGAATGAGCAAAGCAACCCGGATGCTGGAGGAAATCTCCTGTTGGTCAGACCCTTTGGTGACCTTAGTTTTGATTGTCTGGAAATAGACTGTGGGTCAATGTATCAGTGAAGGTCTTATGAGAGGATTAAGATGAAAGAGCCCCTCTCAGTGCTTTCATCACAAT